GCAGTACAAAAAGAGCTCATCCTTTCTATTAATTATTTCACAATATGGGGTACAGCATCATAGATAGGGGACACTGTCTTATTTAGCTTTCCACAATCTATATATGTTCTCTATGAGCCATCCCACCTCCTCGTCCTGAGCTACTGCTGCTGCCTCAGGGATACTGAGCATCTTCCCACCCTCGACAGTCTCAGTAGGGCTAGCTTGCACTGAAAGGCCCAGCTCGAGCCCAGCTCATGATTAAGCTGGTCTATAAAGAAGACTCAGACCATACTTAGGATGTGGAGGAAGTTGTTTTTTACTGTGTGCGGGCCCAGTCTGAGCACCTGCTGTGAGAACTAAGGAAAGGCCCAGAAATACACACAGGTTTTTGTAGAATTTTTTTGTGTTATATTAGTGGATTAGAGACTTCCAGCATAGAAGTAGACATGCCCCTTAGGCTATTGTAGGATATTTAAACAGTCAACATTTTTAGAAAAAAAATTTTTTTCAGACAACTGTGGGGTTCTGACATCTCCCAGGGATATGCTGATGCCAACATAATCAACTATTTTCAGAAATAAGACACATGGCAGTAGGTACTTCCTCAAAGACCACTGCAAGGAGCAGCATGCTCCAAGGCACTCAGACTGTAGTTTTTGTGGTTGTCTGTCTTGTCTTATCACCAGCTTCCAAAGTTCTGCTGCTTCTACATATATCAACAGCATACTTATTATTAGGAGTACATAAGCACATAAATGCATTTATTAGTACTTACTTATTTACCACACAGAATGAAGTTATACTAAAGGTTCATTAGTTCCACATTAGGTTGATTTTTCCCCATCAGTTACACTCCAGCCTGCTATGCCTACTCCTGGAACTGGCTTCCCGGTTCTGGAACATTCTATCACAGCACTCTGGTTCTGGCACTGAAAGGACGCCAGCCTGGATGAACAATCTCCCTACCCCATATACTTGACATCATATATTCTGAAAGGATGACAGCGTAACCCGAGGTCTAGATCTGTAACTGCACTACTTTACCCTGTATGTCTTCTGGGAATTGTTGTTCAGGCTCTAAAACCTTCCTTGTGTGTGTGTGTGTGTGTGTGTGTGTGTGTGTGTGTGTGTGAGAGAACATCTTGTGGGAATGGGTTCTTTCCTTCCACAATGTAGTTTCCGGGGAATGAACGTCAGGCTCTAAAACCTTCCTTGTGTGTGTGTGTGTGTGTGTGTGTGTGTGTATGTGTAGGTCAGAGAACAGCTTGTGGGAATAGGTTCTTTCCTTCCACAATGTAGGTTCCAGGGACTGAACCTAGGCAACAAATGCCTTTAACCCACTGAGCCATCTCACTGACCTCTCATCCCATCTTGACTGATTTTGCACTTAATGAACCTGGTTCATAAACCTGCATGTTATATGCTGGTCTAAGTCATTAAGATCTGCCGGAGTCTCTCTTACCTTGTAAAGACTGCATCCCACCATGAGTCTCAGCGAAGTCACTAAGCATCATTCCAGTCTTAAGGTCTGCACCGAATCCTCTTTCCTACCTTTCCTGTGAATAAAGTCCTATCTGGCTTGATGAACTGAGCATCAAACATTGCCTATCTCATGCCTGATTTCCTCAGTAATAACTGCCTCTCCTCTACTGTCTTCCAGGCTCTGATTGTTACATCGGGATTGACCAGGCGGTGTTAAAGTGAGAAAGCAACCTCAACAAGGCAGATTGTTTTTTATTTAGAACAATGAAGGGTGACAGTCTGTGAGCTTGAGGCACACTGGGTTTAGTCTTTTAAGGGCTGGGGAAGGGGCTGAGGGAAGAAGGAGGGAGAAGGGGCAGGGCTGAGAAAAGGGGAGGAAGGGGTAGAAAACAGCTGCAGTTTTGTTTTTTTCAGCCTGAGGCTAAGAACAGCAGGGCTGGCAGACGTTTTCCCCGACATTAGAGTCTCAGACACTACAGCTTCTGGATTGGGACTTTCTTTTCTTAGTTCCGGCTGCGGACAGGAGCTTGGGCTTTTTCAATTTAGCTTGGGGCTTTCCAAGCTGAGCCTTTGATATGCATGGAGACCTCAGGCAGTGATAACCAAGTGTCCCTAATGGTTCCTTTGATCCTGGCCATCAGTGATAGATTTCCCATCAGGTTATAAAGCCTTTGTCTCAAGGAGGCTCTCCACTTCCATAGCATTTAGCCTGATCGCATCTGTCCCCATGTCCCAAAGTCACATGAACCAGGCTACGACAGGCTCTTTCATGTCTTAAGTCTTTCCCAATTCCAGAAGACCAAGTGCTGAGTATTCCCTCCTTATCATAACTTTTGTACTGGGTGATTTATTACCCTTCCTGCGCCCTCAATCATGGGTTTTCCCTTCTCTATTAAAGACTGGACCTTCCATTCTCTTCTACAATGTGCTCTTCCTCCTCACTGTCCAATTATTCCCATGGGTTGCAAGTTTCTGGATCCCAGGCAGGGCTCTTTAGCACAGCTCTGACCTACACTCTTTCCTTTCAGTCCTCCAGCAACAAGAAATGGCCAGCCAACACCTTCCTCACATCCTTTCTTTTCCAAATCAGAGGCTAATGCAGACGCTAACCCCCACACGTCAGTTTCCCATCACGTGAGAAAATTCTTTGTGGGGAAATGGCTGCGCCTCAGCTGCATGTCTTACGAAGGCCACATCACTGATGGCACAGCATGCTTACCATCCCACCTCATATGTGTCACTTTCAGGAACTTCCAGAGTGTCCCATAATCATGAAACAGATCCCATTTATCAAGGAGATGTTGACGAAATAAACAGTTCTCACCTTAAAGGATAAAGAGATGGTTTATTCTGGAGCCAAATAGGAGTGACCAGGGCCAGGGAACACAGATTCAGGTTTCCCCAAATTCGGTGTTCCAGCGTGGTAACAGTTGTCTTACATTTTTATAGTAACAGAACAAAGAAAAGTCATACATCAAGACACTTTTCAAATACATTGGAGGAGACATTCAGTAGGCGGGTCAGAGCAAAGTGAGGGGTTTTTTACTATAGGTCTCAGATGCTAGCTGATGACATTCTTAGCCTTATGATTGCTGAGACCAGGTGGTCTGCTAGGATATTACATTCTAAGAGGTTTTTTTTAACCTGTTGGTTATGGGGTGTTAGGTCAGAAACAGGTAGCAAGGAGTGGCTGTTTAGTGGACTAAAGATTGCCCAGATAAATGGTAATTAGACTCTGAACCTGCAACATTCCAAACTCTCCACATTCATTGAAGTTCTAATCAGTTGATCAGCCTTCCAGGAAGAAGTCCAGTTTGAAGACAGGTTTTTTTTTTTTCTTCTGGGGACTTTTATTCACAGAGACAAGGCATGCCAAGTAGAGGAAGGTGGCCACCCTGGGATTTCCCACAAAGATGCTTCACCCTCAAATAGACCAGCCTCAGCTGCAGTATCAGCATGACTGTCTAGCCACCAGGCAGGCCAGAGTGTCTTCCCTCCAGCAGTCATTACTGCTCAACCTTAAGGAGGTGCATTGTGAATCTTGTTTGAGGAACTTCCTGAGACTTTGAGTTGTTCACTTCCTGAGCCTTGTAAGTTTTGTTTACTACCTGAGTCTTAAAAGCCTCTTTCCAGGATGGAATGTTTCAATTGCTACAGTACAACTGTGTTCTTTGAAAGGGAGGAAAACCATGCCCTCAAATGGCAGAATGGGAGAGCCACACCAGGTCCCAGTTCTTCTCACAGCAGTATTAATACACACCTCCCCACAAGCCACACCCCAATACTGTTACACTGAGGATTACATTTCTGATAGAATATGGGAACCTCAGAAAAACCATGAGCTTCATTAGAGGAAGCCATAAAGGCATAAAACCATCAGAGTGGCCCAAAGACTCTAAACTGTAAAAGTAGTTTCCAAAATGACCTAACGGTTATAAAGACCTGACTCTGCTCATCCCTTATCAGTTGGTCACTCCCAAGCCTGAGAGGAAATGTTTGTGGAGCCCACCTGCCTCCTCTAAAGCCAGAGATAGGTAAATAATCTTGAGAAGGAAACCTTTAAGCCCGGGCACTAACTCGATTCCCCACTAAGTGTAGATGTGTTTCACAACCCTGGTATAAACACCCCCTACCCCCCACACCCCCACACCCATATCTGTGGAGCATCTTCCTGATTATTGTGTGATGTGGGAGGGCCCAGCCCACTGTGAGTGGTGCCACCCCTGGGCAGTTGGGCCTATGTTACACAAGAAAGCAGGCTGAGCAGAGGCCAGGGGAGCAAGTCAGTAAACAGTGTTCCTCCTGTGCTTTAGCTCCTGCCTCCAGGTTCCTGTCCTTCCTACCTTGGGCTCCCTGATGAACTGTGACCTGGGAGATGTAAGACAAACGCTTTCCTCCCCAAGTTGGTAGTGGTCAGAATGTTTTGTCACAGCAATGGAGAGACAAACTAGAACACATAGTAAGCCTTCTACAGTACAAAACATCAATCAGGGGCTGGAGAGATGGCTCAGCGGTTAAGCACACTGACTGCTCTTGCAGAACACTGGGGATAGTTTCCCAGCACCCACATGGCAGCTACGAACCATCCTTAACTCCAGTTCCAGGGCAATCCGAAGCCCTCTTCTGACCTCCATGGCATTGCACGACACGGGTGCACTCACATGTATCCAGGTAATACACTCATACACAAAATAAAAATAATAAAATATTAAAAAAAAAAGACCTGAGAGTGGTGGCGCACGCCTGTAGTCCCAGCACTTGGGAGGCAGAGGCAGGCAGATTTCTGTGAGTTCAAGGCCAGCCTGGTCTACATAGTGAGTTCCAGGACAACTGGGGCTACAGGGAGACCCTGTCTCAAAAAGACCAAAAAAAAAAAAAAAAAAAAAAAAAAAAAGAAAGAAAGAAAGAAAGAAAGAAAGAAAACATCAATCAGTTAAAATAAATAAATCTGCCTTCTGTGGGCTAGATTACTTCCCAACATCTGTCTTTTAAAGAAATGTTTGATTTACATATTTTACTTATTTATTTTTCCTGATGTCTATAGGAAAGGCGAGTGACAGCTGCAGGTACTGGGCTGACCCGAGCTGTCAAAGTCTCTCCACATTGCTGGGGCATGCAGCTGGAGAGCCCATGGCCGCAGCCCTGATTTACATATTTTAAATTCACTGTTATGCCTTGATTGCAGTTGAAGAAATATGAAAAGAAAGAAATGACAGGTTCAGTTGGAAAAAAATAAGAAAAGTCACTCCCAGAGGAGCGTCTTACATGTCAGTTCAAACTGTGCAGCTTGATTGATGTGAACCTGTTTATCATCCTTCAAGCAGTAGAAACAGATGCTTACCTCTCCCCTCTACACTCTGGAGTAACACTTTGGGAAAGGCGTAATCAGTCCCGCAATTAAGCTTACCAAGTACTGAAAGTGACTTACAAAAACACACATGGAAATTGGCTTCTGAAGCAGAGAAAGAACTGAAGAACACAGAAAGACAAGGATTAAAGGAAAAAGGAACATAAAGAAAACCCCAGCAAACCAAGATTGGGTTCCAAGCCGTAAAGAGGGAAGGAGAGGAGAGATGGCTTACTGTTAACTGCTGGCTGCAGGTCTGGTGGCCTGCCCCCTTGTTATCAGTTCACTTTCCAATTAAAGCCCCAGAGTCCCTAAAAAGTCAACACCCATAGTCCACGAGATGCAGTGAAACAAATATTCACATCATCCAGTTCCTGTTTTACCTTTCGTGTGGCTAGTTCTTAATGTTTTCCTATTTTAAAGTATCAGAGCCTCTCAGAAACTCCCCTGCCAGGCTTTGCTTGATTAATTCTTTTTTTTTCCCTCTGAGCTCAGGGATCTAGACAAGTCAGGCAAGGCCAGCTCCCCATTTGCTAATGCTGTGGCCTAGATTGGGTCTGTTTCATTTAATAAACAAGGAGAGCTGTAGCCTCAGGCGATCAATACATCTAAGGTGCAGTGGGCCCAGAGTTTGTTTATGAGGGATGTTTTTGCCTGAAGTAAAACATGGGCCTCAGCTGTTCATTTCTTCTGAGACGAAAGAAATAGACTGAAATGAAGGCAAGTTTTTTAGGCTCTTCAAAATGCTGGTGAAAGTGTTATTTCCGTCTCTTACCATATCAGAAACATTTGTGAATGTCTTCCCTATATAAACTTCGAAGTCCCTGTCCCCTTCTGACAACTAAACTGGATGCAAAATATATTGCCCAGAGCACTTAGGTCTGAGATAGCACTGAATAAATTATCCTTGATTCAGATTCATTTCCAAATCACTATTAATCCAAGCACTATTACATCATATTTGCACAACTGTAGTAACAACTTAGGTATTAGTCCTTAGGAACATTGATTGGGAACTTAAAGCATACCACATTCACGGCTAAGCACTTTGCTTTCAGTCACTCAATAAGCCATGTCAGAATGCTGTGAGGTCGACAGATGCTGTTATCATCCCACTTTATGGATACCCAGAACATCTATCTCCAAGCAGAACAGTGAGAACATGAGCTGTCTTCCTCTCCATAGACTTACCTAGGTCATAACCACGTTCAAGGAGTGTACAGGGTCACAGAATCTAAGTCACTGTGACCGCTGTAACCTCATCTGACTCTGTAATCTCAGCACTCTGTGGAAGATGACTCTCTCTGTCCTTCAGATGAACACACTGAAGCTTCAAGAGTCCAAATGACTTGCCCAAAGTAAAACTGTCAGCTTTGTGGGGAAGAAGAAACATTCAGCTAAATTAGAAGTTTGGATAATGAATGATATTTGGGTAATAGCTATACAAAAAGTTTACTTGTTTGGAAATTGAATGTCATCTGAAATCTATAGTAACCAAATAGCCCTTTTTCAGATTTTTGGGGGGGATTTATTTTTATTTTATGTGTATGGATGTATACATGTAAGTGCACCATGTGGTGCAATGCCTGAGGAGATCAGAAGATCAGACATCAGATCCCCTAGAACTGGAGTTACAGATAGTTGTTAGCTACCATATGGGTGCTGGGAACCAAACCCAGGTTTTCTGAGAAAGCAATCAGTGTTCTTAACCACTAAGCCATCTCTCCAGCCCTCTAAATAGCAGTTTAATATAAACACATTCCAATTACTGTCTGAAATTCACATCTAACTGGGTACTTTCTATTTATACATCAATCTTATCCTAAAGTCACCCTATTGGTAAGAGGCAATTTGGGGACGGTAAGACAGGTTTTCTCTTCAAGCCCAAGTCTCCATCACACTAGAATAAGGGGCCTCTACTCCCCATCCAAATTTGCAAACTGTTACAGAAAACTGCCTTCAGCCAGTTTTAAATTATTTTTTTCACTACAGATAAATTAATCTTAGAACAGACATGAATCGTGTCCATACATGCTGATGTCAAGACTATATATTTGTTTTCTACAACTCAATGTGATTTCTGTTTTCAAGCCTCCTACTGGGCTAATGAGTACTATTTCTGGACTTTCTTCCCAGCCTGAGCCAAAATTCTGGATCTTACTTGGTGCCAGGTGCTTTAGGATACGGTCTCTTCCGGTCACTGTGTTGTCAACATGGCTGCAAGTGACCCCTTTGAGTCCCACAGCTCACACTCCAGGAATGTCTGTGTCTCGGGCAGAGCCTGTGGGTGACTGCAACTCTTCATGCTGTGCCCAGGGTACAGGGCTCACAGGTCCTCCTGGCCCTTGTCACCTCTAACTCTGTCCCTGACCTGGGCACGAGCTAGATGTTTTCCTTCTGCTAGTCTGAGAAATCATGCTTCCCTTCAGTTTCTGGCCAGGAACTTTTATCTAGTCTTCAGAATCTTTTCCATGTTCCTGAAAGTTTTGGACTTTATAGAAACAAAAGTCAGGGAAATTGCCACACTTATGCATCTTTCCCTTTCCTGGAGTAAGGAGCACAGGACCAACTAACTGTTTGAATGAAGAAGAGACACAAGGAAGTTTAAAGAGAAACAAAACTCATTAGTATCTTAAAATGGTCTTCTGCTACAATATAACATGCATCATGAATCTGCAAACAAGATGCTTATATGCTATAGTTTCTCCATTTAACAATCTGCTGTCTACAACTCTGCAATTATAATTAATATAATCGTCCTCGACATAGTGGCCAGGGTACTTTCCCAAAGCCAGGCTCACCAGATTATTTCTTCACTCAAGCCTGTCTAAACGCTCCTCCAGAGTCCAGTCCCGCTTTCTTGCTTTTGCACTTGGAGGTGACCACAGTCTCTTCCCGTTTTAGTTTCAGCTCCATCATCCACAACTCCCACAATACTCCCCTGCCTCCCTTGTACCTGCCCCTAAGCAAAACTGCCAAACAATTACTGTAGCTGTTGAGTGCATGTCCCACCATCCTCCGACTATACCAGACGATAACCACCCATGTCATCTCCCATCAACCCACTCCTCCTCCAGCCACCTTACTTGGTGTCCTTTCAGATCCCTAAGGATGATATAATGCTGTTGTAAACATGAAAACATTATAACTCACAGAATAGGTTAGTATGTTCAATGTTGTTTGCTTGATACTAGTGTTATACCACCTCAATGAAGTAACACTGGTTATGTGAAAAGGGTAAGTGGCAGACCAGGTCCTGGATCAAGAAAGTATGAGACGGCATTTAATGCCTTATTAAATGTAATTTTACTTGGAAAGTAAAATGTAAGCCCAGTGAGATGTGAAAGTTACAAAAGATGACTTTAAGTATGGAAAATTGGAAACCAACCAATCAGATACACTACTCCATCTTCATCATATAGTTAAGAAAATACCTCCCACCTCACCACAGCCACCCTGACAAGTGTCTTCCTGTTGCAGATGATCCTCTGCACTCTCTGCAGTGAGGGAAGCTCTGCTGTGCACTGACTGTTTGGGCACCCCAAATATTCAGATGTTAAATCTTAATCCCAATTGTCATGGTGTCTGGAGGGGATTAGATCATGATGGGGGAAACTCATGGGATTGCTGCCCTTGTAACAGAGCTGCCCCTCCCCAGTTGCTTTGCCCTGTTGCTAGATGAGGAATCAACAAAAGATGGCTTTTTAAAAAACTGTATTTATTATTTTTATATTTTTATGTGTATGACTGTATTGCCTACATGTAGGTAAGTGCACCCATGTCATGCAATGCCCACAGAGGACAGAAGAGGCTGTCAGATCCCCTGGGACTGGAGTTACGGACAGTTGTTAGCTACCATGTAGGTGCTGGGATTCGAGCCTGGGTCTTCTGCAAGAACATTCAGTGTTCTTAACCACTGAGCCATCTCTCCAGCCCCAAAAGATGGCTTTTTATGAACAGAAAGTGGCTCTCTCCAGAACTGAGTATCCTAGTATCTCCATCTTGAACTTAACAGCTTCCAGAACTATAAGAAAAAACTTTCTGTGGTTGATAAACTGTCCAATGTATGACATGTTTTTAAAGAAGAAACAGGATCCATTATTTGTTGCCGCCAAGAAATGCACTTCATCGTCAAAGACAGACACAACCTTATAGTGAAAGAGTGCTCCTAGCAAATAGAGTTAAGAAACAAGAAGGTATTACTGTTTTCATATCTGACAAAATATACTTCAAACTAAAATTAGTCAGAAGTGATAAAGAAGGTGAATTCATATTGATCAATGGTGGAACCCATCAAGAGGACATTATAATTTTAAACATCCACACATGAAACAAAAGTGCACCCAGTTTCCATTAGATATAAAAACACACATTCTATTAGATATAAAAATACAGATTGGACCTGCCAGGAGACATCTCTAGAACCTTCTCTCCAATTACTTTAAAAATAAATATTCTTCTGAGCAGACCATGGAACTTTCTATAAAATAGGTCATATAATAGGACACAAAGCAAGTCTTAATAAATATGTGAAAACTGAAAGAATTTGTTATATTCTATGTGACCATAATATAATAAAACTAGAAATCAACATCGAGAAGCTACAGAACTTACACAGATTCGTGGAGATTAAGCAGCACATTATTGACTGATGAATGGGTCATTAAAGAAATTAAGGAGAAAATCAAAAATTTTCTAGATTCAAATGAATACGAAAATACAGTATACCAGAACTTACAGGATACAATGAAGGCAGTCCTAGGAGGGCCTATTTTAAAAAGAAAATCAGAATGTCATCAAATAAATAACT